GTTAGACCGCGTACAGACGTCGTGAGCTGTAGGATGAGGAGCACGACCAGGGGAGTTCCTCTGCCGAACGGTGCACCGCAGCACGGCAGAATCCAAAGTAGGACGCTTTTACACAGCGCCGACTTAAAAATTGTGCCACTGCACCTATTGCCGGTGAGTTAGCTAACATACTCGGGCAAGATTGGAAGTAGGAATTTAGGTCGAAGCCGGTTCATGGATTCTGAAGCGAAAATAGCCTTTTTATACTTCCTTCCATGTTCCACTTGCGTCAGGCATTGTTCCGACCGGAGAATCGCCAACCGCTCTGGAGAAACGCCGCCGCGGTTTGGCGGTTCGGCGAAAAGCAATAGATGCGTATCGATTTCGCTGGCTCCGCCCTAGAGAAAAACGCCAGGGCTAGCGTTTTTCGCCCAACCGCTCCGCCGAACCGCCAGACTCTTCGCCCAACCGCCAATCGATACGTATCGAAAGCTTTTTGCCAAAGCGTTTGTTTCCAGAGAAACGCTGGGTCGCAGACTGTGAACAGTGCCTCAGGTGTAACTACTCTGAGAAAAATTGTGGTTTAAGCTGGAAGTAATGACGAACCCTCAGTAACTCCACATGAAGCTCTAGCCCTCACTACATCTGTGTGATGTAGCAGCCTCCTCGCATCTCCTATCATCGTAATGTACTTTTCAAATTAGAAAAATTGCGTTTTTCTACTTGGTTGACATGAAAAAAAATTGGCCGCTTGGCAGTGTGTTGAGACCGCGTTCAGACTACACGATAGGATTGCTCGAGCGATTGGATCGCGCGACCACAAGCGGAGGCGCCTTCACCGGCAAATGGTGCACCGGCGCAGTGGCACAATTTAAGTCGGCGCTGTGTAAAAGCGTCCTACTTTGGATTCTGCCGTTGCTGCGGTGCACCGTTCGGCAGAGGAACTCCCCTGGTCGTGCTCCTCATCCTACAGCTCACGACGTCTGTACGCGGTCTAACCGTTTAATGCTCGAAAGGCAGCGTTCAAACTTCGCGATGACGCGCTGTAACAAGCGTCGACGCGTTGCAACCGCCTTCCAACGCTACAGTACTCCAGCTTTCTTTACCTGTTTCTCTTCAATAGTTGACCCTTTTTCATTGTTTGCCATGGGTATTTCATTTCTTTTAGTTCCTGTTTTCTACGTTGACTCCCTGTCACATGCTTGTCATTGGTGTTTGACGTTTCATGCATGTTGTGCCTGAAATCAAATGGAGATGAAAATAATTTCGTAATCATGTAAGTGGAGACATCTGGGGCACAACATGCATGATGGAACATTATACACGAAAAACTTGTCTGAGATTGAGATTCAAAGTCAAAAGCAAACTAAAAAGTGAAATAGCGTTGACAAACAATGATAAAATAGGTCGAATATGAAAAAGAAACGGGTCAAGGAAAGTTACGTACGGTAGCAAAGTACGTACGGTAGTAAAAGTTACGGTAGGGTAGCATTAGAGCGCTGTTGCAGTTGCAGCAATCATCGCGAAGTCTGAACACTGCGAAAATGAGGATATGAAAGCTGTATTCCTTCCCAATTAAAATATCGTGAAGGCTGATGGTATTGCATTCCCCAACTCGTTCAATATGCCAATTTCAGTGCGAGGATCCAAGCCAGGAAAAAATGTGCAGTTAACGGAGAACGAAATCAAAGGGCTTTGTATAAAGTCTCGTGAAATCTTCCTTAGTCAGCCGATACTGCTTGAGCTGGAAGCTCCGTTAAAGATTTGTGGTGAGTGATTCTTTCATTTCTACACTTTCTCAAGAACATTTGTTTACGTGGTAACAGCATTGTTAAAGTTGTTGAAGATGGCCTGATTTACAGTAGACAGGCTTTCAAAAAGTGAATACTCCGATACTTTGGGGATAGTCCTGCCAGAGTCCTGCCTCCTTCCTCCCCCCCCCCAACAGTTTACGGACACCTTGGATTCAATCCCTTTGAACGCATCGATCTTCTGTTTTTCTCTGCACTCTCTCGTACGCATGACAGTTTCTGGTTGTTGTATCTTCGCACTTTCCAGCCTTTCACGGATTATGTGGTTCATCCAACCCGGATTCCCTCCCCCTGAAAAAGCTCGCTGCTTTGTTCCTTGTACGTTTCAATGTCTTGGCAGCCGCTGTCCTCTGTCTGTCTGCGCTTCTTGGTTTCGCTTCAACAGGACCACGCCCAAAAGTTC